CTTGTGAAAAGTTCTGCTCAAGTCTTGGCTATTGAACAGCGAAAATCGCAGGTCTCTATCTCATTCCTATCAAAAGTTATTCAAAAAGCAACCGAGTGCCAACCATTTTGAAACGGAGAGTAGAATAAACCACTAAATCGATCGTAAGAGTGTTTGGGTTATGATTAAGGAAATAATACACGTAAAACTTACAAAAAGTCTATAAACTTTCAGTAAATGCTGAACATAGTGAAAGCAGCAATTAAACGAGGAATAGAATTTCCAGGTACATCGACAAATATCAATAATAGTATAAGTGGAATCGCCAAGAAACCAACAATCAGGTCCAGGTATAAATAAAGTTTTATAAATAAAATCACTAATGGTTTGATAATATGAACTATAGATCGGATCCAGATCAAGTACTATGTATAGCCAGAATTATATGGTTGCTTCATGTCGCACATGTGCAGGCTTATGTCCGAAGAATGACAAATATTAATGATGCCTAATTTCTGTAAAAATGTAGAAATACATGACCAGAACTAAGTTTGACTGCGCAGAACACATGTTGATCTACTGGAATTTGTAACTTAAAATGTCAAATATCAATATTCAACTGCACGTTATTTCATATAGCAGAGATGATAATGTAATGGGTAGGTAGCAAAGACAAATCGTTTGAAACTGAATTGGACATTCTGATTAGATTAATATTAAAAAAAGGAAGAGTTAAATATCCCAGATAAGAATTACAATTTTTGATTTATTACCTATAGACAACTAGACTGTTGAAGATGAAGTCAGGCAAATACCGATCAAACTGCACTTTCTTATCCTGTTCTTCAAATTCGGTAATGAAGTAATGAAATCTTTTGCAGGTTTAAAGAATGTATCCTGTTACAGCATGAAAATCATGTGTTGATCTATTTTTTTCCTTCATGGTATTAAATGAAAGACCACTGTAGTCAGTGGATTTTCTAATAATTCGTAACTTATTTTTTCTTTTCAATTAGATGTTTGAAATTGTTAAAATGAATTTATAAAAGAAGAGAATTTTTCCACTCAACAACCTTGACCGTCAACTTGGTACTGCACAGTCGGGAAGAGAATTTATTTTAATCATAGTTCAGTTGTTATTATGTCGCTTCACTACTTTTCGTTTCCGTTTAAAACAGGAAAAGCATAAAAAAAGACTTTCAATTTCAAAACTGTTGTAACAACACGAGATTTTTTTTCTATATTGTTTTTCCGAGTCTAAGTGTGTTGATATTGGGACAGTACGATGACATATTGTTAACAATTGTTCATAAGCAGTATAATCAGGTAATTGATAACCAGTGTATGCATCTCCGATAACAGAAGCAATTCGTGTAAGTCCGGCACGTCCACCTGGGACAATACAAACATTTTCATAAGTAAATGGTTTTAATTCACTGTTATCATTGCGAAAGGTGTCATTGTAATAAGTAGCAACAGCCTGACGTAGTTCATTGACGCCAGTAGTAGGGGCGTATTCATGAATTTGATCACCATATTGCTGTAAATCAATTGATTTGGGTAATTCAGAACTTCCTATAACAAAAATTAAAATTGTGACTCAGCTTTTAATATGACGTATCTTGGAAGTCGATTTCTGGAAGCCTTTGGAATCTTATCAGTTATGTTTACTCTATCAGAAATCGTTTAACGAAACTTTTTCGAAATTCAATGTATGGTAAAACACCTTGATTTATTGATTTTCGACCTTGCTCGGACACTTATCCCCCCCATTCGGCAGCTAAAGATACTTCTCAGACCAAAATAGTAATTCTGTAGGCCTAAAATGGTCGAATGACTGTACCGGACACAAAATTAAAGTGACATAACAAGAGTGGACGACCAAGGTCTGCGGGACGGTCCCGATCCCGCGGGGCTTTTTACGGGATCGGGACCACACCTCATAGAACCGGAACCTAAAGATCTGCGAGACGGTTCCGGCTCTGCAGGATGTTCCCGGTCCCACGCGGCTTTTAATCGGACTGAGACCAGGTGTTTTTGAAAATAGCCTTGTATAGAGTCTAAATATTTGCTGGCTTCGGTGCTTGTTTGTATGTAGGCACTACTATCGTCGCCAAAATACGGCGACTCTGGTTGCTTTCTGAATAACTTCTCACATGAGACAGATAGAGACCTGCGATTTTCGCTGTTCGATAGCCAAGACTTGAGCGGAACTTTTCACAAGCGAAAATAACTTTCGAAAAAATTTCAAAGCTCGGGTTTCCAGAGGATCTTTGGAAAACTAGCTCCGTTCTCAGAAAACTAGCATACAATATTAGTAATTTTTTTGCATGCATACATAGTCCGGACGTTACTCTACAAAATTATGCAAGTCCCGGCTCTCCAG